AGGGAAGAAATTCTTCCCTGTGAGGGTGGGCAGGCCCTGGCACAGGGTGCCCAGAGCAGCTGTGGCTGCCCCTGGATCCCTGGCAGTGCCCAAGGCCAGGCTGGACAGGGCTTGGAACAGCCTGGAACAGTGGAAGGTGTGGCAAGGGGTGGCACTGGATGATCTGTAAGGTCCTTCCAGCCTAAACCATTCCCTGATTCCCTGCTGCTGGGTGTGCCTGTGCTGTTGCTGCCCCTCAGCCCCAGAGCTCTGCTCCCACTGCCTTTGGCAGCAGCTGCCCCGCCCTGGGGACACACCTGGGCTCAGCCACGTCCTTGTCCCCATCAGCTCTGTCCCACCAGGGACACACAGCATCCCCCGATACCCCTGTGGGTCCTGGGTGTGCTGAGCTGAGCAAGAATGAGGAGCAGGAGGAAGGACAAGGAAATTTTGGCGCAAACCTGTGCAGGACTGACCTCCCCGTGGCTCAGTCTGCTGACTGGGCTGCCCAGGGCCTGGGCTGTTTCCAGCAGCACTCCCATTTCACATGATCTCAAGGGCAATGAGGAAAATGAGCTCTGGACACCCTGTGGTGCTGGGAGGGCTCTCTGTGAGCCTGGGGCTGTGGGGTGGGCTCCTGGAGCTCTGCTCTCCCCACCCTGGTGAGACAGCCTGCAGGCAGCAAATGCAGCAGGGCAAGGTCAGGGCTGGGCTGCAGGTGATCAGGGCTCTGGGTCACTCCTACAGTTCCTGGGTTGCTTTTCCCTCACCCCTCACAGGTGGGGCTGGCTCTGGTCTGTTGGAGGTGGGGAGCAGAGCTGGCTGCTGCCTCGGGGTGTGTCTGTGCTGGAGAGAGTCCAGAGGGGCCACAGAGCTGCTCCAGGGCTGGAGCCCATCTGGAGCCAGGCTGGGAGAGCTGGGGGTGCTCACCTGGAGAGGAGAAGGCTCCAGGGAGAGCTCAGAGCCCCTGCCAGGGCCTGAAGGGGCTCCAGGAGAGCTGGAGAGGGACTGGGGACAAGGGATGGAGGGACAGGACACAGGGAATGGCTTCAGTCTGACAGACAGTGGGGTTAGGTGGGGTTTAGGGAAGGAATTGTTCCCTGTGAGGGTGGGCAGGCCCTGGCACAGGGTGCCCAGAGCAGCTGTGGCTGCCCCTGGATCCCTGGCAGTGCCCAAGGCCAGGCTGGACAGGGCTTGGAGCAGCCTGGGACAGTGGGAGGTGTCCCTGCCATGGCTGGGGTGGAAGGAGATGATGTTCCAGGTCCCTTCCAGCCCAGAGCAATCCCTGATTCTGTGTGTGGGGCTGATTACGGGGCTGGAGATGCTTCCAAGGGCAGGACACAGCCGGTCCAGGCTGCTGGACCAGCTTGGATAGTTTGCCTTTGGAATCCTGAAGGCAAAATCCACCTCCTGCCCTGGCTCAGAGGGACCAAGAGCCAGCCAGGGCTGCCCTGGCCGGGCCGTGACCCCTGAGCACGCGAGGGCTGTGCCTGCCCTTGGGCACCGACTGCCCCAGGGCTGTGCCCTGCCTGTCACCCTACCTGTCACCCTGCCCTGGGTGACAGCTCTGCTCAGGGGGCTGGGCAGGAGAGGAGCCTCCTCTCCTGGCTGGTTTCAGCCACAGGATCCTCGGGCTCAGCCGGGACAGGGACACACCTGTGCTGCCCTGCTCTGTCCCTGTGCCCTGCTGTGCCCACAGCACAGCCTGCCTGGAGAATGCCAGCACGGTGTGGGGACCCTGGGGACCTAGCAGGGAGGACTGGAGTGTGGCTGGGAGCTGCTGTGGCCTGCCTGAGCCCTGTCCTTGCTGTGTCATTGCCATCCCACCCCATACCCCGCCCTGTTTGGGGTTTGGGTGCCCAGAGCCCTCTCTGTGCCCTCTGGGCTGTGCAGCCTCTTCATGTCCCTGCTGCTGGAGCCACCATGTGTGCCTGAGTCACCGAGAGGCAGGAGGGGAGCTGGGGGCTGGGGACAGAGCAGCTCTGTCACCAGAGGTGCTGACACAGGGATCCTGCCGAGCCAGGCGTCGGTGCTGCCACTGCTCTTGGAACCCCACGGTGGCTTCCCCCTGCCAGGAGCCAGCGGGACGTGCCAGGGCCTGTGCCAGCCCAGCCGCCCCTCTGGGTGTGCCAGGGACGGGGTGGTGGCAGGGGCGGGGTGTGGGTGCTGGTCCCAGAGCAAACAGGGGTGTTGGGAAAGCGCTGGGGTGGGTGGCTGCCTGGGGACATGGGGCCCTGGCAGGTCCCTGTGGGTGCTCCTGTGTGCCAAAGCACTTTGTGGGTGTCTGAGCACACACCCAGGGTGGTGTTGGCTGCAGGGGTCCCTGCTCTCCTCTGCCGTGACAGAGGGGTCTGAGGACAGGTGACAGTCTAGGGGGCTGTGTCCCCTGTCCCCAGACCCCTCCAGCTCTTGGCTGGATGTGCAGCCAAAGCTGCTCATGGAGGGACAGCCACTTGTGGGTGGCTTTGGCCGTGGAGCTGGAGCACAGAATGCTCTCTGTAGCCCTCAGTGCTCCCTTGTGCTGGCAGGGAATGCTCTGCACAGCCCCCAGCTCTTCAGGGAGGCTTTGCTCAGCCTGCTGAAGGAGCCAGGAGGTGGCTGAGGCAGTTCCTGAGGGTGACACATCAGCCCTGCCAGGGTGTCCAGATGTGGGGAGTCAGGACACGCTCTGGCGTGGGCAGCCTGGGCACCCACCCTCTGCTCAGGCACAGCCCCCCACTAGCACTCCACTCTTATGTCACCCCCAGAGGTCCCTGTCCCTCTTGCTCCCCTTGGCTTGCCACCAGGGCTACCAGGCAGGGAGCATCAGTGGCCCCCAGCATCCCCCCATCACCCCGGAGCGTCCTGCTGAGCCTGGGGAGATTTACTCACCTCGGATGTTTGACTGCAAGTCTTGTTCCAACCTCTGCAAATAATTGACTTTTGCTTTTCCATTTACTTAAACCCTCCTAATTGGCCCTGCTGTTAATCAGGGAAGAATGAGTGACTAAGCCGTCTCGCCTGCCCGGGGACTGGGGGCTCCTTTTTTCCCATGGACTGAAAGGAAATGAAACCTCAAAATGTCCTTTTCAATCTCAGCTGTCTGCATGGCTGCCCAGAGCCCTGGCCAGAGTCACACAGCCTGGGAGACAGGAATTGCAACAGAGGTGCTGTGTGGAGGCCAGGAGAAGAGGCCAAAATCCAGGCTGAGGAATTCTGTGAGGGATGAGCTGGGGTGTCTCATCCTTTGCTGTGATTTTTTTCAATTTCGGGGGGTTTCACCCTGGCACAACGTGCTGCTGGTCTGTGGTTTGCTCCCGTGGCTGGCAGTGCTGGCATCTCCTCAGGGATGGGTTTATCCCTCCTCGGGCAGCATTTTCCTCTGGAGCTGCTCATCCCGTGGGGATTTGCAGCACCCTGCAGCAAAGCTGTTCCTTGTGCTGCCTTGGCTGCCAGCACAGCTCCGGGCTGGCTCCTGCAGGAGATTTTGGCTCCTGCTGCAGATTTTGGCTCCTGTTGGAGGTTTTGGCTCCTGCTGGAGGTTTTGGCTGCTGCCAGGCTGTGCCAAGGCGGTGTGGGGGCTGTTTAGTCTGGGTTTGTGCCCCCAGCATCGTGCTGGCTCCAGCACTGGGATGCAGAGCCAGGATCCGTCCTCCCCGCGCCCATCACCAGCGCTCTGGCCAAGCCTGAGCTGTCAGAAATTGTTGGAGGAGACTCAAATTCTTCATTTTTCACAGGCTCTGGGGCAAAGTTGACTGGGGAGTTCAAAGTCGAGGCCCTGTGTGCCAAAAGCAGCTCGGGGGGGATTGTTTCTGCAGCCTTGGGATGCTTCAGGATGGGGTTTTGGTGTGGGACCCCCGTGTGGGGTCTGGGGCAGGGGTGGGGAGGTGCTGGGTGGGTCAGGGTGCCCAAGGGGCTCCTCTGGCCACATTGGGAGGGGGCAAAGCCCGTCCCTGCTGCAGGGGGTGGGTTTGCAGTGTGCCCCCACCCCCTGCATCCAGGGGCTGCTGGGGAAGGGGCTGCCTGTGGGATGGAGGGGATCTCACCCCAGTGTGGGGTGCAGGGGGATACCTGGCAGCTCAGGCCCTCCCAGCACCTTGGACTCATTCCAGATTGGAGTTTGGGGTCCTGGTGGGGGTCCCTGCCTCACGTGGGTGAGTGTGGGGGGTCCAGGCTGTCCTTTCCCCTCACCCTGACCCCAATCCCAGCCCTGCTGCAGCACAGGCTGGGAGCCCCTTTGTGGGGTGGCCCTTGTGGGGGCACAGCGGGGTCGGGGGATGTCAGTAATGTTTGGGCTGGGGAATGGGGGGCGCACCCCAGTCCCAGCCAGCTGAGGTGGCCAGAGCAGGGCCAGGAGCTGCACAAGGCACAGGAAGCCCCGGCACCTCCGGAATCAGCTCAATGTCAGGAATTTCCTGCCGGGGAGAGGAATCCATGAAATTAATGTGAAAGGCCAAAAAAAGAGATCATCCTGACCCTGAATCAGGCCCTGGGCTGCACAGGGAGGGCAGAAGGCAGCGGGTTCTGCCATGCTCCCTGCACCAAATGCTCTTCCAGTATTGTGGGTAAACTAGGACTCTTGAATAATTGATTAATATGATTAAATAGAAGTTGTTTATTGTTTATATTACATACACCTTTATAGATTTTATAAATTACTAAGATTACACTTCTTGACTGGTGTTTTTGTTTTGTTCTTTTGTTTTCTGCCTTCATTTTTTAGTGGTTGTGATTGGTTACTGTGTAGGTGTTCTACAGTCTTGTGTTATTTAGTTCTTGTGATCTTGGTATGCAGTCTCTCAGCTTCTTTGTTCTTATTTTAGTACAGTTTATGTGTTAGTAACTTTGATGAATTTTAGGGTGCTTTGAGAACATTTTGATAAGAACAGTTACAGACAGTGTGGCTGGTGCACACTGAGGCCTGAGCTGTTCAGATATTTTGTTATATTGCAGCAGGGTGCTGGGGAGGGGTCTGGGGGGCTCTGAGGGGCTCGGAGCCCACAGCCAGCCCTGCCTAACGTAGCTCTGCTGTCCCGTTGCAGAGAGGACGGGGAAGGTGCTGGGCGAGTTCTGCCGGTGCTACCAGGAGCAGTTTGGGGTCGCTCTGTTCAACAGCGTCCGCTATGAGATCGAGGGCGCCGGGGGCCCGCAGGCACAGCTGCTGCACCGCAAGGTGAGCCTCATCCCAGCTCCCTGTCCTTCCCACCGCAAGGTGAGCCTCATCCCAGCTCCCTGTCCTTCCCACTGCAAGGTTCCATCCCCAGCTCCCTGTCCTTCCCACCGCAAGGTGAGCCTCATCCCAGCTCCCTGTCCTTCCCACCGCAAGGTGAGCCTCATCCCAGCTCCCTGTCCTTCCCACCGCAAGGTGAGCCTCATCCCAGCTCCCTGTCCTTCCCACTGCAAGGTTCCATCCCCAGCTCCCTGTCCTTCCCACCGCAAGGTGAGCCTTATCCCAGCTCCCTGTCCTTCCCACCACAAGGTGAGCCTCATCCCAGCTCCCTGTCCTTCCCACTGCAAGGTTCCATCCCCAGCTCCCTGTCCTTCCCACCGCAAGGTGAGCCTCATCCCAGCTCCCTGTCCTTCCCACTGCAAGGTTCCATCCCCAGCTCCCTGTCCTTCCCACAGCCCTGGGAACTGGCTTTGGAGCCACTTTAGGGGGCTCATTCCCCATGGGTGTGTCACTGCTGGGGACTCCCCAGAGCTGGCACCTCCTTTCTGTCCCCATCCCTGCTGGTGGCCCTGGGGTTTGGGTTCATTCCTCCTGCTGGCCCATCCTGCTGGGTGGAATCTGGCCCTGTGCTGCTGGCCCAGCCCATCCCTGGGGCCTTGTGCACTCTGGGGCTCCCTGGGATGGCTTTGTCCCAGTCCACAGAAGGGGCACACAGCAGGGTGAGCTGTGGGGATGTCTGTGCTCCATGCCAGGGCTGGCAGGAGCTCAGGGACCTCTCAGTGCCCAGAGAGCCCTGAGCAGATGTGCCAGGCAGTGTCCTGCTGCTCCTGGGTGTGAGTGCTGCTCCCAGCTGGGCACATCCCTAGGGAGGAACAGGAAACCCCTGGCAGGTGACCCCAGAGGTGGCTCTGGGTCTGACTGCAGCAGCCGCGTGTCTCCTGCCTGGCTAAAGGGATGGGATTGGTGCTGTGGCTCTGTGGGATCCTGCCTTCCCCTCTGCCCCTCCCTCCTCCTAAGGCAGACCACCTCAGGTGGGGCTGCTCACAAGCTGACATGGCTTGGGGACCTCCCTGGGGTGGTTTTCTTGGGGTCCTGCCTGGCCAGGTTGGTGGAGCTGCTGTCCTTGAAAGCAGGAAGGGATGTGATTGCACATGGCCACAGGCTTCTGCTTTTGCCTGCAGCTTAGAGGGGTGGCTCTGTTCAAGAATCTGGGCAATGCCTCCCTGAGCTCAGCCTCAGGCCCTGGGTGCTCACAGAGGCCGTGTCCCTGACCCACCCATGGAGGTGACACCTTGCCCAGGCACCAGGACGTGCCCCATCTCCTCGGGGACCTGCCTGCGTGCTGGGTGTGTTAGAAAAAACAAAGGAGTGGAGGTTCCTGGTGTCCTCAGCACCCTTGGGCTCCTCGGATGCCTTCATCCCCCCTGGGAGGTGCCTCCATCCCCAGGTTGGTTGCTTCATCCAAAGGCTCCAGCAAGCAGCCTAGGAATGTCTGAGGGACAGCAGCGAGGTCAGGAGGTCAGGGACAGTGCAAGTCTTGGAAAAACCCCGTGTAGAAATAGGAATTCCTCCTGCTCAGTGTCCTGTCTGCTGCCCAGCCCCTCCCAGGGACACAGCAGTGCCACTGGGATGTCCCATGTGCTGCCCAGCCCTTCCAGCGTCCTGAGAGTGCCACTGGGATGTCCCATGTGCTGCCCAAGCCTTTCCAGGGACACGGCAGTGCCACTGGGATGTCCCAACACTCTAGACACCACAACAGTGATGGATGGGCTTTTCCAGCTGCACTTTGTGCCCCCAAACATGCCCCAAAAAGTTGTGGATGGCACAACTTTTGTTGTTGGAGGGTGTTATCCTGCCTGGCCTCAGCTGGGATGTGGCACTTGGGATTTTTAAATGTTCTTTGTTTATTCCCCCTTTTTTGTGAGCTCTGTGGTGCTCAGAGCAGTGGCACCAGGGGTGACACTGGTGGCCCTCCTGGGCAGAGTGAGACAGCAGGAACGGGGTGTGAAGGACGATTCAGGCACCTGAAACACCAGCAAGATGCAACAGCAATGAGAATATGGAATAAACACATCTGCATTTGGTCTGTCCAACAATCCAGTGCTCCTGAAAAATCTTCCCTGACACCCTCTGTCCCCTGGCCCTGTGACAGGGGTTTGGGCAGCCCAGGGGCTCCCCAGCCCCTCCCTGCCCAGCCCCACAGCTTGGCACACACCTCCCTGTTCCAAATATTTCCTGGAGCTGGGAGGAGCCCCCTGGGTGCTCCCTTGAGGGGGGAGGGTGTGTGAGGAGGGGACAGCTCTGCTGGGGCTCCCAGGGTGCTGGTGGCTCTCCAGGGTTCCCAGAGCCGTGTCAGGGCTCAGCCTGGGTTTCATTCCATCAGCAGCTGGTCTGTCCAGCTCTCTGCCCTGGACACAGGTTCTGGAGCCACTTTAGGGGGTCATTCCCCTTGGATGAGTCACTGGTCATTCCCCAGAGCTGGCATGTCCTTTCTGTCCCCATCCCTGCTGGTGGCCTTGGGGTCTGGGTTCTCATTCCTCCTGCTGGCCCCAGCCCTGCAGGGCTTTGGGCTTCCCTTTCCCCCTTCCAAAGGCTTTGGGAAGCAGTGAAGAGCAGCGAGGAGCAGTGAGGAGCAGCCAAGCTCCTGTCAGACCTCCCCCAGCCCAAGGGGGTGTGTGGTCTGGGCTTGGGGAAGGCAGAGAGGTTCCTGTGAGCCACGAGAAGGGAGAAGAGTGGGAAAAACTCCTCCAGAAGGGTCCTGCTGCTGGGACAGGGTGGGATGCAAGCCCTAGCTGGTCCCTCCTGGCAGCCACCACGGTGGAGGGTGGGTGGCTGCGGCAGAAGAGGCGGCTGCCGCACGCTCCAGCCCTCACGAGAGCTCTCAGCTCTTGTTTATGTTCCTGGGATCATAAAAATTCCTGGGACAAATTGTTGGCTCCCTCAGGCAGGCTGTGTTTAGGATGGTGCAGACGCTGCTGGCCAAAAGGTGCTGCAGGGCTGGGAGGGGCTGCACAGCTCGGGGGGCACGGGGTGTCCTTGGCCTGGTCCTGCCATGGAATCATGGAATGTTTGGGTTGGAAGGGACCTTAAAGCCATCCAGTGCCACCCCTGCCATGGGCAGGGACACCTTTCACTGTCCCAGGCTGCTCCCAGCCCTGTCCAGCCTGGCCTTGGGCACTGCCAGGGATCCAGGGACAGCCACAGCTGCTCTGGGCACCCTGTGCCAGGGCCTGCACACCCTCACAGGGAACAATCCCTTTCCAAAATCCACTCAAAATCTCTCCTAGTTTAAAAAAGCTGTCACTGGTCCCAGTGGAGTGCAGAACATCTGAGCATCATTTGGTGCTGGGCTCTCTGTGGTGGCTTCTGGCTTTTCCTCTGCCCTGTCCCATCTGGAGAGCCTGCTGGGCAGTGTTGGGTTCCTGCCACCTGCAGATGCCCCTGGCAGGACCTTCTGGCAGCACTGGCACACACCCTGCCCCTGCCCCAGGACAGGGAAATTCCAGCTGGGGCTGGGAAGAGCTGCTGGAGAGCTCAGCTCCAGCCTTCCACTCAGCCAGGGGAGCTGGAGGGGCTCAGCTGAGCTTGGTGTGTCCCAGGGGGAGATGCCAGGGGCACGGGTGTCACCACATGCTGGGTGAGCCACCCCTATGAGCTTTTCTAGGGCTGTGCCTGTGGTGCCCCTCAAAGCATCTCCCAAATGCACCAATTCAGGCACCAAAATTTGCGCCACCCTGGGAGTTGATGCAGTGGAGACCCTCAGCATGGCCCTGGAGAAGAAACACCCACCCAGGTCACCATGGATGGATCTCACTGAGCTCTCTAGGGCAGAGCTGTCCCCTCCCTGATCCCCTGTTGTCTTGGTTTGAACACACAGGTGTCTGCTAAGGAAGGCAGGAGCCTCCCCTGAAATGGAAAATGTAAACCCCCTCCCTCTGAATTATTATAAATTTGAAATTAAGGGGCTTTCAGGTAAAGATATGGGAATAGGAATAACAGTTCTTTATTAGGGAAGAAAATGAAATAAACAATATGGGGATAGAACACACATTGCTTGGCAGTCTAGGACACCTGTGCCTGTCCCCTCCCTGCAGGTTCCACTGGAGGACCACGTCATCTACTCAGGCAACATCTTCCAGTACATCGAGGAGAACAAGAAGTGGAGGAACCGCTTCTGCGTGGTGCCACACAACTACGGGCTGGTCCTCTACGAGAACAAAGTGGTGAGGACAGCCCCCCTTTCACCCATCTCCAGCGGGGTCATTCCCCATGGACACCCCATCCATGACTATTTCTCCTGCTCAGGCCTATGAGCGGGAGCAGCCGCCCCGGGTGTTGGTCAACAGTGCTGGCTACAAGATCCTCACCTCCGTGGAGCAGTACCTGGAGCTGGTCAACAACAGCCTGCCTGGTGAGGGCCCTCGTGCTGCTGGGCAGCCCCTGGGGACCTTTGCGTGGGTTGCCTGAGGGACTTCAGAAAAGGGTGTCCTATCCTTGGGAACCTTCAGAAAAGGGTGATTTTGGGGGGTTGCATTCCTGGGAACCTTCAGAAATGGTGGGTTTGGGGTGTAGCATACCTGAGGACCTTCTGGAAAAGGTTTGGGGTGTAGCATCCTTAAAGACCTTCTAGAAGGGGTAGGTTTGGGGTGTAGCATCCCTGGGAACCTACTGGAAAGGGTGATTTTGGGGTGTAGCATTCCTGAGGACCTTCTAGAAAAAGGTGATTCTGGGGTGTTATATCCCTGGGAACCTTCTAGAAAAGGTGGGTTTGGGGTGTGGCATCCTTAAAGATCATCTATAAGGGGCAGATTTGAGGTGTAGCATCCCTGGGAACCTTCTAGAAAAGATGCGTTTGGGGTTTGGCATCCTTAAAGACCTTCAGGAATGGGGTTTTTTGGGATATATGGGTTTGTTTTTTTTTTTTTTTTTGGGGCACCTTTGGGAAGTGGTGGTTTTGGGTAGTGGGGTTGGAGGGAAGGAGAACAGCCCTGACCCCACAGTGGGATGTGGGGTCTGCTGAGGTCCTGCCACAGCAACCAGGGAGGGGAGGGGAGGGAGGGAGGTAATAGGAAAATAGGAAAGAAAATAATAGGAAGGAAAATAGGAAGGAAAATGTGGCAACCACATGATTTTTAATTACTTTTAATTTTACTTCTCAATTTTCATTCTGATCTCCTTTTTGGAAAAATGAGGCTCTTTTTGCTTTTTTTTTTAACAACTCCCAGCAAAGGCCCTGGCAAGGGGCAGAAGGCTCTGTGTGTCCCTGCTGGACACCCCAACCCTGCAGCTTCCCCATCCCTGTCCAGCCCCATCTCCCCCTCAAACCACGCGCGCTTTTCCGCAGGCGTGACACCGAAATCTGGGCACCCTCCCATCCTGAAGTGCCCCACGGATTTCCCGCTGATCCTGTGGCACCCCTACGCCCGGCACTACTATTTCTGTGTGATGACGGGCAAGGAGCAGGAGAAGTGGCGGGCGGTGTTCCAGGACTGCGTGCGGCACTGCAACAACGGTGAGTGACACCTGGGGACACTGCAGCCCCTGCTGCTCCACACAGGGACCTGCAGGGGCCAGCCTGGGGCTGTGGGAGAGGGGATGGTTTGCAGATCATGAGGAGGAGCTGGGTGTGAGTTGTTGAGGAACATTGGAGAAGGGAAGGATCCAGGGAGATCCTTCCAGTGCATGGAGGGGCTCCAGGAGAGCTGGAGAGGGACTGGGGACAAGGGATGGAGGGACAGGACACAGGGAATGGCTCCCACTGCCAGAGGGCAGGGATGGATGGGATATTGGGAATTAGGAATTGTTCCCTGGGAGGGTGGGCAGGCCCTGGCACAGGGTGCCCAGAGCAGCTGTGGCTGCCCCTGGATCCCTGGCGGTGCCCAAGGCCAGGCTGGAGCAACCTGAGATAGCTGGACATGCCCCTGCCCACAGCAGGGGGTGGAACAGGATGATTTTAAGGTCCATTTTAACCCAAAGCAGTGTGGGACTCCATGACTGAGCATCTCATCAATGCCAGCATCACCCCCAGCTCCCTGGAGCATCCCTGTGCCCAGCTCCATCCTCTGCTCATGAGGAAGTATTTCCAGGAGCCAGCACAGAGCCTGGCTCCAGAGCTGCCTTGGTGCCCATTTCCCACCCTGAGGGAGAAAATATTTATTAATTAAAGTCACCAAACCCCAAACCTCCCACCAAGGGCTGCCAGGGCTGTGGGCAGAAATGCAGGGCAGGGGGTGCATGGCTGTGCAGCTGGGTGGAGGCAGGACCTGCCTCCCACACCAGTGATACTCTGGCAGGAAAACACGATTTTCCTGCTTGGCTGTGGCCTGGGCATTCCTGGGCTGAGCCCCAAGTGCTGGCCATGCTTGGGATGGTGAGAAATTGCCTGAGGAAGGCGGTGCCAGAGCTGAAACCTGCTCAGAATCAGGTGTTTTGGTGGGCATTTTAGACTCTGCCCGATATGTAAATGCTGCTTTCATTCCTGGGAACTCTGGGTAGCCTCAATTTTGCCTCAGTTTTGCTAGAGCTGCTGTAATAGGGTGGGATCTGGAGCCTGGGTTTCACTGAGGGTTTCCATCCCCCCACGTTGGATTAAATCTCCTGAAAAACTGCTCTTTTTATTTTGTGCTGGGGGTCTCTGAGCTCCTTGGGCTGAATGTGCCCCCTCCTTTGTGTGGGGCTGGGTGCTGTGACCCCTCATCCCCCTGGGGATCATTTCTGGATGAGCTCAGCACTCCAGAGCCCCCAGTGCTGGCTGGAGCAGCAGCTGTGAGCAAAACCAGCTCTGGATAAAAGAGGAATTGATCTCTTGCTAACAAACCCTCAATTTTCATCTCTAATTCCCCTTCCACCTGCTGGGTGCTGCTGGGGGACACAGGGGAGGTGTGAACCCCTCCACCATCCCCTCTGCCAGCCATGGGTGTGCCAGAAAATCCTCTCCTCCCTCTGCTTCTCCTCAGCATGTGATGGAAATGCCTTCCCAAGTGGGCAGTGGCCGAGGAGGGCTCGGTGCCGCATTCCTCCAGCCTGGATTTGTCTGTGACATTGTTCTTCCTGCCCCTCTCTGCTCCTGGGAGCTCCAGGATCCTGTTTCATATTCCATGAAGGCTCTTTTGTTGTTGGAAAGCACTTTAGGTTGTTGGGGTTTTTTTTCCCTCTAAATTAGAGGCTCTGTTTCTGCCTCTGGTTGTGATTGGTGTGGGAATTTTCAGCTCCCTGTCTCAGACTGTGTTTGTGAAACAGCAGCTCCTCTGTAAGGACTGGGGATGTGCAGCTCTGTTCCTCACACAGACGGGATCAGCCTGGTGTCCCTGGAGCCCCTGGCTGCTCCAAAGCTGTCCCTTGTCCAGTCTGGTGTCACCTGGTGCTGGGCAGTGCCCACCCCGAGGGCTCCTACCCTTTGTTCCAGGACGGTTTGAGTTAAAAGGGATCTTAAATCCTATCCCAGTGCCACCCCAGCCATGGCAGGGACACCTCCCACTGTCCCAGGCTGCTCCAGCCCTGTCCAGCCTGGCCTTGGGCACTGCCAGGGATCCAGGGGCAGCCACAGCTGCTCTGGGCACCCTGTGCCAGGGCCTGCCCACCCTCACAGGGAACAATTCCTAATTCCCAATATCCCATCCATCCCTGCCCTCTGGCAGTGGGAGCCATTCCCTGTGTCCTGTCCTTCCAGGCCCTAAACCACACATTAATGAAGGAAACTCGTTACATTTGCCCTGGGAAGTGACACAGGGGCTTCTTGCACCAGCCCTGCTTGGACAGGACACAGGGAATGGGATGGACTCAGGGATGTCCCCAGGTTCAGCCTGGAGTGAGTGACCTTGGGAAGGCTCTTGGGAGGCAAATCCTGCCCCAGGCAGGGACAGGAGGTGAGGATTGTCCCACCTGGGAGGGATCTGAGCTCCATGGATGGAGCAGCTCCAACCCCTGGAAGCTCAGCCCAGCTCTGGTTCCCACCGAAGACTGAGAAAGGAGCAGATTTTACTTTCTCAGTGTTTTTTCCCCCTGATTATTAAGCTGCCCCTTAGCAAAATCTGCTTAGGCTTGGAGTTAATTGTAATCACCTTACAAAAGTCTGTGTGCACTGGGAGAGATCTGCTTACTGCCCCGGGCTGTCCCTCCTGGACACCTGGCCGTGTCCCCAGCCCTGCCAGGTGCTGTGGGACATGTCAGCAGTGTCCCCAGCCCTGCCAGGTGCTGTGGGACATGTCAGCAGTGTCCCCAGCCCTGCCAGGTGCTGTGGGACATGTCAGCACTGCAGGGATGATCCCCTGGAGCAGGCTCAGATCCTGTCCTGATCCCCTCCTCTGGGCATGGGGAGGGGAGCTGGAGTGGAGGGCTCTCTCCAGGGGTGTTTCCCTGCCTGGCAGGGACCTGCAGAGCCAGGACAGGCAGGGACACGCATGGGACACATGGGACAGCTCCCAGGCTGTCCTGCCTGCCTGCTGTCCCCATGTCCTCGCTGTGGAGGCTCCCAGCCCTGCCCCTCCTGCTGGGTGCTGGGGCAGGCTGGGGGTGACACCTGAGCCTCCTGGTGCTGCAGTGACTCTCCGGGGACAGCCCGGCCCTGACTCACTCCTGAGGCCTCTTGGCCACTTTGCTCTTCCTTCCAAGCCACACCGCTCCCTACAGGGCCCCTCTTCCTGCCTTGATGCCCATTTCCCACCCTGAGGGAGAAAATATTTATTAATTAAAGTCACCAAACCCCAAACCTCCCACCAAGGGCTGCCAGGGCTGTGGGCAGAAATGCAGGGCAGGGGGTGCATGGCTGTGCAGCTGGGTGGAGGCAGGACCTGCCTCCCACACCAGTGATGACCATAGCCCCCCCAGATGGCCCATTCTGCAGGTCTGGGGGCTCACTGGGTGCTGTGTGGGGTTGGGGGTCACTGAACCCCCCATCCTGGTGAGCCCCCAGGTCCCTGTGCACCATTTGGGGTCACTGAGCTCCCATTTCCCTGTGCACCATTTAGGGTCACTGAGCCCCCTGCTCCTACTGTGCCTTTGGAGCTCACCAAGTCCCCAGGTCCCCATGCACCATTTTAGGGTCACCAAGTCCCCATCCTGCCAAGTTCCTGCTCCTGGGTGCCTTTGGGGGTCACTGAGCCCCCAGGTCCCCGTGCACCATTTTGGGGTCACTGAGCCCTCATTTCCCTGTGCACCATTTGGGGTCACTGAGCCCCCAGATCCTCGGGTCACTGAGCCCTCATTTCCCTGTGCACCATTTGGGGTCACTGAGCCCCCATCCTACCCAGCCTCCCTGCCCTCGGGGTGGCTCTGGAGGGAATCACTCTGGATGTATCAGGAGCCCCCCAACCCCTGCTGCCCCCCACCCTGTCAGGGGCAGTGCCTTGGGACAGGATCCCAAATCCTGGTGACAGCCCTGGGGGCTTGCAGGGGTCCCAGGGTGTGGGGGAAGCACACAGAGGTAGGCTGGGGGTGCTGGAGGTGCTGCCGTCCCTCATTCCCCATTCCAGGCTGCTCACCCGTGTCCCCTCCGCAGGGATCTCCGAGGACTCCAAAGTGGAGGCTCCAGCCTTCACGGACGCCATCCGCATGTACCGGCAGTCCAAGGAGCAGTACGGCACCTGGGACATGCTCTGCGGCAACGAGACCCAGGTGAGCACCGCACCCCCAAACCCGGCTAAGAGGGATGGGGGGGCTGAGCAGGCTCCCCAAAAACCTCCTGCCTCCACAGGTGCTGAGCAACCTGGTGATGGAGGAGCTGCTCCCCGAGCTCAGGAGCACCATCGGCCCCCGGCTGAAGGGCAAAGCCCCGGAGCGCCAGCGGACCTGGATCCAGGTGTGGGGCTGGGGCTGCCGGGGGGTTCCCACCGCCTGCCCCCCTCCCCCTGCCCGCACACCCGGCCTGGGGAGCCTCCCTTCCCCGCTGGGCTCGGTGCCCACCGCCTTCGCTGCCCCCTTCTCCCGGCCCCTTGCAAAGAATCCGTCCTTTCTCCAGAGTGGATTTTAAAGCTCCTTCTGTGCCCCTGCCCAGCCCTGCCCAGCCCCGCCTGGGGCCGGGAGCAAACAGGAGGAAGCCCAGCCCCGGAGCGAAGCCTGTCCCGGCTAAATTTAGCGAGCCATTTTTAGAGCAGCGCGGGCTAAATCCAGCCCAAACCATTGCGAAAGACTGAGGGCTCTTCAGAACTGCCTGCTAAAACCTTAAACCCCGATAATTACCACCAGGCTCTCAAGTAATGGGCCGCTTGAGCGGCCTGAAAACACACAAACTGCTTTTCCAGTAGCTGCGGTGGCTGGGAAGGAGGGAGGAGGGCAGGGCACTGCATCCTGCCAGCCCCAAAATCGCAGCCTTTGGCAGCAAGGTGAACGTGAAGCCTCAGCAAGCGGTTCCATCCTGCTCAGGAGATTGGCTCTGGGAGCCCAGGGAGGGGGAACAGGGCAGGGAACAGATTTCAGGGTGGGCTGGGGCTCTGCTGCTTGGACCACCACTGTCCCTGGACCACCAGTATCCTCAGACCTGCAGCATTCCTGGGCATGCAGCATCCCCAAACCTTCAGCATCCTCAGCCCTGCAGCATCCTCAGCACTGCAGCATTTCCAGACCTGCAGCATTTCCAGACCTGTAGCATCCCCAGACCTGCAGCATTTCCAGACCTGCAGCATTCCCAGACCTGCAGCCATCCTGGGCATGCAGCATTCCTGGACATGCAGTCATCCTGAGCATGCAGCATTCCTGGACATGCAGCATCCCCAGCCCTGCCTGGGGCAGGTTGCCTGATGGAGGCAGTGCTCACCTCTCTGCCCCTCCAGCACCACTTGGAAGCAGTTTCTGCACTGCAAGAGCTCCATCTCACCCCGCTGAGGGGTCCCTGGTGTGGAAACCCCTGGCAGACTGTGGGGAAGGGTCCTGTCAGGGCACAGGGGATGGCTCAGCAGGTACTGCAGCCAGCTGGAGCTGCAGGCGATGGCTGGGGGTGCAGCTGGAGGCGTGGGGGGTCTCTGACCCTCCCCCGTGCCCCCAGGTGTCGGATGCTGTCTATAGGATGGTCTATGAGCTGGCCAAGGCGCAGTACGACGCAGCAGTGGCCAGGTGTGAGCAGGAGCGGCCGCAGCTGGAGAGCACCATCCGCACGGACATGGACCAGATCATCACCTCCAAGGAGCACCTGGCCAGCAAGATCCGAGGTGCAGGGATGCCCTGGGATGTGTGGGGGTGCCCATGGCTCCTGGGGGGGCTGTTCCCAGGGTGCAGCACAGCCCCTGGCACCCTTGGAGGGTGCATGTCCCCACTGGCATTGTCCCAGGGGGTTGGGGACAAGGTGGGCAGTCATCCCCTATAGTAAAACAAGCTAACCCCTGAGGTAGGGAATGATTGGGATCTGACTCTATTGATTCAGAATGCTGAACACTCACTTTATTAAAGCTGTATTATATTACATTATAGCTATATTAAAAAGGGATATTATATTATGCTATATCATACTTACTACTAACTGAAAAACTCGTGACTGTCTGCAGACTGACAGTCCACACAGCTTGGACTTGATAGGCTAATTAACATAAACAATCTCCACTAGAATCTAATTACCAAATTCCTTCAGGTAAACAATCTTCCCAACACATTCTACATGTGCAAAACACTAGGAGCAGCAAGCAGAGATAAAAATTAATTTCTCTCTGTGCTTCTCCAGGAAAAAACTGAGAGAATTATGTCTCTCTCTGTTCAGAGAATGTGAATGCCACAACCCCCTGGCATGGCAGTGGGGCAGGAATAGGTTCAGGACAGACCAGGCACACTCTGCAGGAGTTCCTTGTGTTGTTGTGAAAGGGGGAGACTCTTCCTGAGGGGTTTGGGAGCAGGGGCAGCTCCTCCTCGCTGGGGTGGCTGTAGGATGTGATGTGAAGGGCTGGAAGGAGAGAGGAGCCTCACCATCCTCATCCCTGCTCTTTCCCAGCCTTTGTCCTGCCCAAGGCAGAGGTCTGTGTCCGTAACCACGTCCAGCCCTACATCTCCTCCATCCTGGAGGCCCTGATGACCCCCACGAGCCAGGGCTTCGCTGAGGCGCGGGAGGTGTTCTTCAAGGAGGTGACCGACATGAACATGAACGTTGTCAACGAGGGCGGCCTGGAGAAGCTGGTGGAGGTGAGACCTGGTGGTGCTCCTTGCCAGCTTCGGGGTGACAGGGCCAGTCCCATTCCACCCCCAGTGTGGACAGCACTGGGAGAGCCCAGGCTGAGAAGATTCTACCAGTGTGGGGTGGAATGTCCCTGCCTTGAGTATGTGGAGAAGCTGAGCTTGGCTTTGTCCCCAGTACATGGAGAAGCTCTCCCACCTGGCCTTCCACCCCGTGAAGATGCAGTCGTGCTATGAGAAGATGGACCAGCTGAAACTGGAGGGTCTTCAGCAGCGATTCGATGTCTCCAGCACATCCGTCTTCAAGCAGAGGGCCCAGATCTACATGAGACAGGTGAGATGGAGACCAGGGTCCTTCCCCGTCCCCCTGGGCTGGGAACAGAGGTTTGGGAAGCCCAGGCTGGGATGTCCGTGCTGTCTCGAAGGATGGATGATGGAGCCCCTTTGGTCTGGAGCCCATGGTGGGTTGGAGCATCCTGGCACAGCTGCCCCTTTTCCACCGAGCCCACTGGCACCAGCAAGGTCACTAAGCCAGCTCTGGGGTCTGATCCAGCCTAAGCTGGCGTGGGGTGTAGGAGGATGAGGGGGTGCAACACCAGCTCTGAGCAACCTCCTTTCCCAACACCCTTGATCCTCAGGGTGAGGGCTGTGGATGCCACAGCAGGGTGAGGGCTGTGGATGTGGGAGGTCAGGGATTTGTGCAGAGTGAAGGTTCTTTGCCTGTTGGATATTGGGAAGGAATTGTTCCCTGTGGGAGTGGGCAGGTCCTGGCACAGGGTGCCCAGAGCAGCTGTGGCTGCCCCTGGATCCCTGGAAGTGCCCAAGGCCAGGCTGGACAGGGCTTGGAGCAGCCTGGGGTAGTGGGATGTGTCCCTGCCATGGCAGGGGCTGGTTGGATGATTTTAGGGTCCCTTCCACCCCAAACCACTGTGGGGATCTGTGCTAAGTCTCATCTCAGTGTGGCAGTGCCCCAAGAGCCCCTGCCCCCCTTTGGGTGCCCCCCTCGCTGACCACGTGTCTCTGGTGGCAGCAAATGGACGATGCCGTGTACACCTTCGAGACACTGCTGCACCAGGAGCTGGGGAAGCTGCAGGGCAAGGACGACCTGTGCAAGTCCATCCAGCGCATCCTCGAGAGGGTGCTCAAGGTGAGCCAGGGGGTCAGGCTTCTGGTGGTCTCTGGTGGCCTTTGGTGGCCTTGTTCCAGGGCCAGGGAAGAAGCTAGCAGTGATGTTATCTATTTCAAAAATCTTTTAGGGTTTTCATGGATTTTGATGGGGGCAGGGAAGTGGGAAATTACCTGGAGGAGCCAGGTGCCCTCTGAGCATATCCATAAAGGACCCCCAGGGTTCAGACTGGCCCCCAAACCCTCCTGCAGCCAGCAGTGGAAGAGCTGGCTCCTACCCGGGCTCAGAAACACTGGAAAACAGCTGGAGAGAGCAATGTGAGGCCAGAGGGGTCTGTGTGAATGGGCTGGGGGGCACATCTCAGGGGTTTGTGCCTGTGGGCCAGCCCACAGCCCTGGGTGACCCGGGGCACCCTCTCACCCTGTAGAAATTCGACTATGACAGCAGCACCGTGAGGAAGAAGTTCTTCAGGGAGGCCCTGCTGCAGATCACCATCCCCTTCCTGCTGAAAAAGCTGGCACCCACCTGCAAGGGGGTAAGAGGGGAAAGTTTGGGGTGCAGGGAAGGACCTCTGTGGAGGGGCTGGAGCATCCATTTCCCCCAACCTGCTGTGCTGAGCCACCTCTCCCCTGGCAGGAATTAGCCAAGTTTCAGGAGCTGATCTTCGAGGACTTTGCCAGCTTCATCCTGGTGGAGAACACCTACGAGGAGGTGGTGCTGCAGTCGGTGATGAAAGACATCATGCAAGGTAGGGACCTGTGGCACCTGGTGAGGAGGGGGTGACCTCTGCAGGGGGCTGGGGGCTGTGTGAGGAGGGGGTGACCCTCTGCAGGATTTTGGGGGCACCCTATGACAGGGGCTGGATAAGGAGGAGTGTTCCCATGCAGAGCCAGCTGGGGGCTGTATGAGGAGGGTGTGACCACATGTGGGGTGCTGGGGGCTGTATGAGGAGACCCTCTATGTGACCCTCTGCAGGGTGCTGGGGGGTCCCTGAGGAGTGGTGATTCAATTCAGGGGATCAGCTCAGGGCTGTACGAGGTGGAGTGACCTCATACAGGGCTTTGGGGACTCTATAAGGAGAGCTGACCCCATACAGGGTGTTGGGGACTCTGTAAGGAGGGGTGACCTGTGCAGGGTGCTGGGGGCTGCCCTAGAAGCAGCTTTCCCGCCTGGCTTCCCCCCTGGCAGGGCTGAGCAGTGCGTGGGATTCTGCCCACCCTGCCCAGCTCCAGCCACCTCTGCCATCACCCACGGGGAGGACTGGGCAAGGTGCCCCAGCCCGGCAGTGCCCGCAGCCCCCGTGAGCTGAGCTGTCCCTCCCTGTCCCCAGCTGTGAAGGAGGCGGCCGTGCAGCGGAAGCACAACCTCTACAGGGACAGCATGGTGATGCACAACAGCGATCCCAACCTGCACCTGCTGGGAGAGGGCCTGCCCATCGACTGGAGCGAGGAGTACAGCGGGCAGCCCGAGGCCGAGCCGGCGGCCGAGCGGCGCCGCAGGGCCAAGCAGGTGGTGTCGGTCATCCAGGACGACGAGGGGGCCCTGCCCTACGGGGCCGAGGCGCTGCTGCAGCCCGGCTCCCCCGAGCCACGGGAGCCAGAGGAGGCACACCCCGCAGTGCCCCCGAGCCCCCCGGATGCGGTGAAGGAGATCCGGGAGGCGCTGGCACAGGAGAGCCTCGGGGATGGCACCGGGGCGGAGGAGCGGCTGATGAACGGCACCGATGGCAGCGGTGCCAGCGAGGAGGGCGTGCTGCTGGCAGGGGCTGCCCCAGGGGGTGTCACACAGCAAGGTCCAGCCCGTGATGGGGACGGCGTGCACTGTGCCACAGTGGCATCACCAGCACCTGGAGCTGAGGTCCCATCAGGGACTGGGAGAGAACGTGTCACACCAGCATCGTCACCTGTCCCTGGAGCTGAGGTCCCATCAGGGACTGGGACACGCCGGGCTGCACCAGCACCACCTGTGCCTGGAGCTGAGGTGTCATCAGGGGGGCAGTGTGCCACACCAGCATTGTCAACTGTCCCTGGAGCTGAGGTCCCATCAGGGACTGGGAAACAACGTCCTGCACCAGCATCACCTGTGCCCAGAGCTGATGTCCCATCAGAGGCTGAGGTGCCCCATGCCACACCAAGATCATCCGTGCCAGCTTCCCCCATGTCTGGAGCTGATGTCCCATCAGAGGCTGAGGTGCCCCATGCCACACCAAGATCATCCGTGCCAGCTTCCCCCGTGTCTGGAGCTGATGTTCCATCAGGGGCTGAGGTGCCACATGCCACACCAAGATCATCCGTGCCGGCATCTCCTGTGCCCAGAGCTGATGTCCCATCAGAGGCTGAGGTGCCACACGTCACACCAAGATCATCCGTGCCAGCGTCCCCGGTGCCCAGAGCTGACCCATCAGTGTCCAGCGTGCCACACGGCACAGCAGCACCAGCCAGTCCCCGAGCCAATGTCCCAGCAGAGGCCAAGGTGCCCCATGGCACAGCAGCACCACCCGGAGCCCAGAGCCCATCAGCAGTGTGTCACCAGTGCAGTGACAAGGAGACAGGCGAGCACGGGGACAGCCCCCCGCAGCCCAGGGGCTCCACAGAGAGCGGTGAGGGGGTGCAGACTGAGTTCTAGCCCCAGCTCCCGCCATGGACTGGCCCTGGTGACACTGGGGCTGGGGGAGGGGGATAAGACCCCCCGGGATGGAGAGCAGCACTGTGGGAGAGGGAGGGGATGGGGACACCGAGACCTTACTGCCTAACGGGGGTCCCGCTGCCGAGGGGGGCTGCCCACAGCCACAGCCCCCGCTGGGTCAGACTGGGGTGGCCCCAGCCTGGCATGGGGCATCCTCTGCTCTCTGCTCTGTCCTTCTTCTGCCTTATTTTCTTTCCTACTGAGGAGATGCTTTACTGAAGAGCTTTATCTGCCCCCCCAACCAGTGCCTGGGGCTGCTGGGGGGGCTGGCACTAGCCCTGCTGAGGGTGGGTGTGTGGGACACTCCTGGCTGTCCCCAGGGTTGTCCCTGCCCCCATCTGGGGGGGTTCCTGGGAGCCTGCCCACTGCCACCCACCCGGGGGGGTTCCTGGGAGCCTGCCCACTGCCATCCCCACTTGGCCAGCTCCAGGAGTGCCAGTGGGAGCAGGGGCTGCAGGGGATGATGGCAAACAGGGACACGACAGGGACAGCAACGCTGGGGGGCCTGAGACACTGCTGGGGGGGAGCGCTGGGACAGCCACGGGCTGCTGGTGCCCAGGCTGGGCTCAGAGCATCCAGGCCGGGCTCACAGCAACTAGGCTGGGCTCAGAGCATCCAGGTTAGGCTTACAGCATCTAGGCTGGGCTCACAGCATCCAGACCAGGCTCCTGCCAACCTGGTACCCAGGCTGGGCTCACAGCACCCAGAGCTCACCCCCAGCCATCCTCACCCCTAGGGTGTGTGGGACACTCCTGGCTGTCCCCAGGGTTGTCCCTGCCCCCATCTGGGGGGGTTCCTGGGAGCCTGCCCACTGCCACCCACCCGGGGGGGTTCCTGGGAGCCTGCCCACTGCCATCCCCACTTGGCCAGCTCCAGGAGTGCCAGTGGGAGCAGGGGCTGCAGGGGATGATGGCAAACAGGGACACGACAGGGACAGCAACGCTGGGGGGCCTGAGACACTGCTGAGGGGGAGAGCGCTGGGACAGCCACGGGCTGCTGGTGCCCAGGCTGGGCTCAGAGCATCCAGGCCGGGCTCACAGCAACTAGGCTGGGCTCACAGCATCCAGGTTAGGCTTACAGCATCTAGGCTGGGCTCACAGCATCCAGACCAGGCTCCTGCCAACCTGGTACCCAGGCTGGGCTCACAGCACCCAGAGCTCACCCCCAGCCATCCTCACCCCTAGGAGCTATTCTAGGAGCTATTTTAAGTTCAGAGTTCAGTCTCTGGGGGAAGGTGACATGCCGTGTCCCAGCTGTGCCTGGCAGGACTGGGATAATTCTAGGCTCAGCTCACTGTGCAGTGGAGAGGTCCCAGCCCTTGCCCTCCAGATCGTCTCAGCACCTTCCATGGATGGTTTCTCCAGCTTTGCAGATTTTGGCATCTGCTGTGATGGCTGAGCAAAGAGCAAGGGTTTGCTGAAACCCCCCGTGTGTCATGGGATCAGAACTGCTGCAGCCCCCACACAGTGATGCCAAAAGCCCTGGAGGTGCTGGGGGTCTGCAGCACCCCTGGGTGTGCTACCTGGAGCAGGGACCAGCACCCTGACAACCACCTGTGCCCAGGTGCCACTGTTCCTGCCTCAGAAGGGGGGTGCCCAGCCTAACCCACTCAGGGGGGCCCCCAAAGTGCCTTGGGAGGCCCCCCTCAAAGTGCCTTTCTCTGTGAACTTCAAACCTGTCTCTTCCAGGATATTTTATTAAGAAAGTTATACAAATGTTTAAAGATATGCTTATAATAATTAATAAAATGGAAAAGCTTTATTTAAAGCCAGAGGAGACTCTCCTTATTCCTGAAGTACCTCCCTGGGTAGGGCTGGGGATCCTCAGTCCCACTGTGACCCAGGGGTGTCATCCTGAGCCCACCCAGCAGTGACACAAACCAGGAGTGGAGCTGAGATGATTTTATTCAAAGGGGTGTCCTGAGGAAGCAGCAAGAGGCACCTGGAGCAGCAATTCTCCCCTGGCACAGCCACACCAGCGGCTCCAGCCCCATCCCTGAAGCACAGGAGTGGGGTGGGGGTGGCAGGACCCCCAGTGTCCCCAAAGGCACTGTGTGAAGAGGGGCTTGGTGCAGGGCAGCTCTGGGCAAGAGGGCAGGGGTCCCTGTCCCCAGCAAGTCACCGGATCATTCCCGTTCCAGCCAGGATGAACCTCCTCGAAAAGCAGGGAGGGGGAGAAAATGCCAGCACCCCCCCACTGTCACGACCCAGACAAAGGTCCCTGAGAGCTGGGGGACAGCCACCAGCTGAGGCCAGTGGCAGCGTGGTGAGTGCTGGCCATGGGGCTCCCCGTCCCCAGAGCGGGGCCAGCTCCGAGGGCCACCAGCAAGTCCTTGGGGTTCTGTGTCCCACAGAGCACAGGGACAGAGACAGACCCAGCAGAAGTGACAGCAACTATTCCAGACGAAGGAGCAGGAGGTGGGACATGTGTGCCACCACCTCGGGGGAGCTCTAGCCCCGGCCCAGCAGGGGGTACACCATGAAGTAGCCCAGGGTGGAGCCTGCGATGGCCCCCAGGAAGATCCAGGCGTTGTAGGACATGACAGCCAGCATCACCATATAGCCCAGCACCACCTGCACCACGTGGAACAGCGTCTGGCCCACGTGGAACCAAAACCACCTGGGAAGGAGAGGGGAAATGCCATCAATGAGGGGCTGGGACAGCTGGAATCACCTGCCACCGGGAGCCTGGAGAGGCCAGAGGGGGGTTTGGGCAGCAGGGAGAGGGGTGGGGGCTACACAGCAGCTGAGGGAAAAATCCTGCTCCAAAATCAATGAGGCTGGCAGTAAGAGCAGCCTCAGGAATGATCTGGGATTAAATACAAGAGCAAAAACCCAGGGCTTGGCCCCAACGGAAGAACTACCAGGGCCAGGCTTGTGGGGACTGAGTTGCTGCTTGTGCCCACCCCCAAACCAGCAGGACCCTCCTGCACCCTGCACAGCAGCTCCTGGAGGGGAACACAAGCCTCTAGCCACCACCCTGGACACATCCCAGAGGATCTGGAGCGGCTGGGCTGCCCCTGGAGCCACCTCCCCAGGCTGTACACACCCCCGTTCCCTGGCAGCCTACAGCTCCTCCTCACAGCCCTTCTCCCCTCTGTGCTGGCCATGGGCCCACAGAGCCATCCCTGAGCCCCCAGGCGGGTGCCAGGGGTCCCTGTGGTACCTGCCCTGCGCGGGGTCGCTGTCCCCCTCCTGTGGCTCGGTCAGGGCCTCCTGGCTGAGGCTGCGGGGCAGGGCCAGCAGCGCCCGCCGCAGCAGCACGGCCTTGCCCATCTTCACGGCCTCGTAGAGCACAGACAGCAGCACGATCACCAGCACCGAGAGCACCATCCCTGCAGGAGAGACACCCCGACACTGCCCAAGCACGGGGACAGCCTGGGGGGGTGACAGGGCCACAGCAGGGCCTGCCACAGGGGGTTGGGAATATCCGTGGGGGGCCCCTGGCACTGGGGCTGGGCAGCAATGCCAGGATATGGTGTATTTAGCTTTTTAACTCACAGAATTAGGTAGGGAAAGCCCTCTGAGATCATTGAGTCCAACCTGTGGTCTCACCCAACAACACCTTGTCACCCAGACCACGGCACTGAGTGTCCCATCCAGACCCTCCTTAAACACCTCCAAGGACAGCAACTCCACCACCTCCCTGGGCAGCCCCTTCCAGTGAACAAATTTTTCCTAATGTCCAGCCTAAACTTCTCCTGGCTCAGCTTAAGCCTGTGCCCTCTTGTCCTAGAGAGCTGCCGTGAAACAAATACACAGCTTTGCATCGACTCCACAAAAAACATGGGGGTTAAAATATGATGTTGGGACAATAAACAAAAACAGAAAGAAAAGTGTGAAAGTGGGAAGCTGAGCCATTCCTGAGTGATCTGGGGGGGTTGGAAGTCTGAGGGGGGGCTTCACACAGCTCCCTGCGTGCTGCTCGTCTTGGGAGGATCAACCCCCGCCTGGGGATTGCCCAGGGCACAGCACAGCTCAGCAGGGAGAGGCAGGTCCTGCCAAAAACTGCTCCAGGAGCCCACACAGCTCCTGGAGGGATGGATGGAGGGACAGGGATGGATGGATGGACGGATGGATGGATGGATGGATGGATATCCCAGTGCTGGCTGCCTACCTGTGGGGCTGTGGACATTCCAGAAGTCGAAGAGCAGCACTGCTGTGTCCGAGAAGTAGAAGGTCATCTGGAAAAGAGGCCAGGGAAGGGCAGTGCAGGAGCTCCACAGGGTGATGGGTGCCACGCTGTCAGCAGCTCCCTGCACCCCCACCCTGGGATGCTCATCTGGGGATTCACCAAATGGTGCAAGTTTTTCCCCAGTTCTGAAATGGGAAGAGGAACTTGCACAGACAATTACAGTCACGCTGACTGGGTTGAACTCTTCCCGTGAGCTCCAGCAGGACAATTTGCATCCCCTGCAGCAGCTCCTGTGTCTGGGCTGTGACAAAAAGCCAGTTTACCCCTGTGACAAAGAGAGATGAATCCTCAAATCCATCCACGTGGATCTGAGGAGGGAAGGTCCGTGGAGATAGGTGCAGGCTGAGGGGAAGCTGGTGGGCAGAGCCTCTGCTCCCCTCTGCTTCCCAGGGCACAGAAACTTCCTGCACTGCCAGAACACCCAAAAACTCAACCACCAAGGCACCCAGAGCCACAAGGGTGACCACCCAGCAATGGGGACCAGGTCCAGGGGTGCCTCCCTGACAGAGGAGCATCAATCCCAACACTGCCAGGACCTGTAAAGGCACCACCCCCTCCTCCTTCACCCTGCTGAAACAGGAGGAGCAGGAATTGCTCTTGTGTAACATCAGCTGCAGAGCTCATAGCCAGCTGACACATCTTGCTCAAAAGGTGGAATTTTGTTGGGTTTTTCATGCTCCCTTTGGTGAATCTCCCTAGGAAGTGTTTGTGGAGTTCACAGCCGCTCCTCTCCTGCACAGATCCATGTTTGGCTGCTCTTTCCTGCCTTTTCCAACACCAGCAGAGGTGACTGACAGGACCAGGACCAGCCTCGGTCAGAAATACCATCCAATACCCCGTGGGTGTTCAGGCCACAGCCCGGCTCCAATTACAGCCCTCGGCCCTCCTTACCCACAGCACATTAGCACATGTAATTGGCTCACCCTTTTAAGCCTCCTTTGGTCACACATTAATGATAATTAGCCTTTAAATGAAGCTATTTCTCCTTCACAGGCTTCACCCACAGGTGGTGGAAGGAGCAGGTGAGTGTTTTAGGGATGGAGGACAGAAGTCATGGGCAGAATCAGTATCATTAACTTTGGAAAAACCCTCTAAGATCATGAAATACAAACATTAACCCAGCATGCCAAGGCCTCCACTAAACCCCAGCCGCAAGTGCCACCTCTCTATGTTTTTTGAACAATTCCAGGCATGGTGATTCCACCCCTTCCCTGGACAGCCTGTTCCAGAGATCCAGAAGATCCCTTTGCTGCCCCAGCCTGGGGTGGAGCCACATGTTTTTGGGTGCCCAGTGTGGGTGCGACCCCAAAACGATGCTCCTTGGGCCAACAGCGATTCCACAGAGAGATTTCTTGGTGGGTGAAGGTCAAGAGGGAAAAATCCTAAAACCCCCTGCATTCTTCCCACTGCTGCCAGGGAGATGTCCCAGGCTGACGGAGGGCATCCTGTCCTCCCCCACCTGCCCCCGCAGCAGGGATTGGATTGAGCAGGCTCCCAGGTGAGGCTGCGCCCAGCTCCTCCCCCGCAGGAATTCAC